TGTGCAAATATGTTACCATTTTAACTGGCCAGGGCAGGAAAGTCTGAAGTTCCTATTTGACTTACGACAATTGGCTGCACCCAAAAGACCAGTTCACCCTCCTGTGTGCATAAATAGTATTAAATGTGAACGCAACTGAGAGCACCATCTCTTGCATGTGAGTGCATTTATGCTTATCTTTGCAGCAACTTCTGAGGTGAATTTCCCTGCAGCTGATCTGCTTTGTTGTAAGCAATAACTTGCTTAGTGCTGCCATCTAATGAGTTCCCCTTTGACTGATTTGAGACTCATATGTTCCAGCTGCTCAGAAATGCTGTACGGAATAAATGTTGTTTTAATATTCTGAAATGTCATATAACAAACAAGTTTATGGTTCTGGTTTGTGCTTGACATGGTGAGTGATATGTTTGGTCTGACTTTAAACTGCAATAAAATGTGGGAAGCTGGCCCTTCTTGGATTAATAGTTTGAAGGCGTTCGCTGTTCCATAATGCTTGCACCTTTATTTGTTTCTTCCCTCCAAAATGGAAACAATCATCTCAAGTGATTTAATATTTTATATAGAAAAAACAGCTTGGAGAAAGAAGTTGAGAGATTCACAATTGCTAGCCCTGGGACCACACTTAGCCTCTTTGGACTGACGTGTGGGACCACACTTAGCCTCTTTGGACTGACCTATCCAAGAATGTAATATTTTTGTTGGCTGTCTCTATAGATGGTTCTTTACCATCCTGTCTGGTGTTCATGGGAGGAGAACCAAATATCAATGAACCATCACTTCCTCAAGGGAAGTCTCCCAAAACGATTCTTGATGGGGAGGAAAGACCCAAATGTTTCAAATGCCAACCATACAGATAGTAGTTGTTCCTGCAAACCTAGCAGTTCGAAAACATGCAAGTGTGAGTAGATAAATAGGTACCACTTCAATGGGAAGATAGCAACTTTCCGTGCGCCTCAACATACAGTTATGATGGCCACATGACCACAAAGTGTTTTCAGGCAACGCTGGTTCCCTCAGTTAAGAAAAGAAGATGAGCATAACCCCATAGAGTTGGACATGACTACACAGGGGAAACCTTTACTTTTACAGATAGTAGTTAACTTCAGATAGTAGTTAACTTCTGAACACTGTCCAAGAATAAACAACTGAGACTTCTCATTCTTCCCCTTTTCAATTATTTATTGTCTGGTATCTTTTTAAAAAGTGAATCAGTGTTTGTGTTTCATACAGAAGGAAGTTGGAATTCTGACAGCTCTTCATTGTGTTCTTTCATTTGTTTTAATCAAAAGCTGTATTTTATTGGAAAAACCTCTTTCCCCTTCAAAACTTTCACTTCACCCACACCAATTTTAATGTTTTCCTGGAACCAAATTAGCAATTAAAGAATGGCCCAGGCCCAGAGAACAGTTGGCTCCATAATATAGTTCCATCTCTGAAAGTATACAGGTCTGGACTTGCTTAGGACCTGGGTGGAATAATGTCTTGTGGAAGAGTGGGTAATATGAGGAATAATTTAAAATCACAAAAATGCATATACACATCCTTCAAATTCAAATATTTCCTGTTTTATAAGGCTAGTATTTTTACTGGAAATTTAAGTAGGGTTTTGAGGAGGTGGTATCTCCAAAGTGACCTTCATGAAAAATGCTATCTTACTGCCAAGTTAGTATTAAGAGGAGAGGAGAAATAAATCTACACTCTTCTTATAACTGATCTATGGTCTATGCAGCCACTTGATGTTGACCTTCAGCTACAGTTCTTCTGGCTAATACCGTAACCTAAATGATGGAATTGGCTACTGTATTTTAGATGACTTTTTTTTTAAAAAAAAGGTTCACTTGTAAAGAAGATTGTCAGTGGCTGCTAGTTATAAAAGCTGTAGAGTATTGCTGTTATCTGAAGCAGTATGCCACTGAACATCAGCTGTCTGAGAAGTAAAAGTGTTTGGAAAACCACCTTTCAGCAAAATGATGTTGTTGCTGTGAGGAAAAGTATGAGGACTAAGTGCAGTTTGTGCACGTCTTGAGCACCTGCTTGAAAAGCAAGACATAAATTAATAAATGACTAGTGACATTAAGTCTGCCTCATTAAGATATTTTAATAAATTAATCCCAGTATCTTGAGATGTTTATGTTCACTCCCTTGTTCCTAGATCCTGATGAATAACTCTGTAAACACTTGACCATTTTAATGTTGCAATTAATTTATTAAAGTGTATTTTATATTAGTGACACACACACAAACACACGTTTTTATATGTCTATCTCCCACTTTTTTTTAATGATGCTGATTGATAGGAGCTTCAACGAATTTCAAGTTTAGATCCATCATTTTTAGGACACTAGGTTTTTGAAAACTCAGATAGAAGTTCTTGATACTGTTCTGGGGATATAGCATTGAAGAATAGTAGAGGAGTTAGAAACAATTTCCTGCCAGAATGAATTTTGACCGGGAGGGCACTTAAACTTTGTTTTGGAGCAGTGTTTCTCAAATTTTGCAATTTCATGATGTGTGGATGTGCTGCTATGGAATTCTGGGAATTGAAATCCACACATCTTCAAGTTGCTGAGGTTTAGAGAGAACAGAACTAAAATGAATTTCTCCATCTCATGGAAATACAGTAGTTCAGGAATTACAGGCAAAATGGCCAGTGATTCTGTAGGTTAAAGATATGGGGAGTTCTGGAAGGCATCATGTTAGGAAAATTTTCCATAGAGGGAAGGTCGAGATTGAGAAGGTGCTACATTACAAAAAATGTTGTTTTTGAACTTGAGAGTAAAGTGGCAGAAAAAGAGAACACTCTAAAATACCAACACATGGGAAATTTAAAATGAATAAACAGCCATCTTATGGAACAAGCATACTGTTCTTTATATCTTCAATTCTAGTCCAAAATCTTCCAAGAGTTGGAAACAATTTGCATTAATTCTTTACATGTCTGCTTTTTCTGCTCAGCAAGCTTGACAGAAGCATTTTGACTTGGCCGTTCTTCATTTTCTTTTCTTTTTTTTTTCTTGTTGGAACTTGCTGCAGCTTATTTTTTTTTGATACCTTCCAAGAACTGACATATTGTTCAACTGCCTTGGAGCATGTATTTATATTGTTGAGATGTCAGATTCATTTTTGTGCCCACCTGGAATAAAACACTCTAATCTTATAGCAGTCTTACAAACAAACGGTTGCCTGTGGTTAGTGAAAATTGCTATCAGACGAGAAGAGTTTTCAAATATCTTGTTTCTGTTTTGTCATATTACTGACATAGCAATCTGTGGGTGGTAGATTTCGATGTGAAATAAATCTGACTTGTTTGGAAGGCTTTGGTTGGGAACCTTTTGGATTTTCGGGCTGTTTACTATTGCTTCCAAAATACATTCATGTCAAAGAATGCTTTAAAACATAATAGCTTCATACCCAGTGGTGGGATTCAAATATGTGAACAACCAGTTCTCTGTGTGGATGCTGCTTCCAGAAGTCCATTCTGGGCCTGGGCAACAAAAAATTAGCTACCAGTTCTACCGAACTGGTGCGAACTGGCTGAATCCCACCACTGTTCATACCTAAGTACACTGTCCAGTCATCAGAACTAAATAGCATTTGTCTCTGGGTTTATGGCAGGTGATTGTAGTAACAGACAAGTCTTATATTAGGCACATCAGACTCCCTATCCTTAAACAACAACTAGATAAGAGGACAGGATAAACCACCTTTCTGACCTGTGTTCATTCTGTTGGCAGAGGAGGTTTCGCTCTTCAGTGCTGCTCAGTTTGAATTGCCAACATCCCACATCATTGATCATGCAAACTAGAATTATAACAACGATAGTTAAGCAACATCTGGAGGATTACAGTTGACTCACTTCTTATAATATACATAGAACTTTTACAGATGCCTAATTTTGAGCGAAACAGGCCTGGAAGCCCAGTCTCTTTCAAACTTAAGCTCCCCTTTGGCCTTGAGAAGCATGGAGTAAGGGAGCACATTGTAAACTGTGATCTGATCAGGACAAGGGAAAAGAAGTAAGATTTTAATTTAATTGAATACAGTTAATGTGATTATTCCTCATATTTTAAATAATTTCCCCTTTCTACCATATTAACAATCACAATTGGTGTAGAGATCTTATCCAAGTCTGGGGGACGCTTTTGATCAAGGGTCTCCAACCCCCAGTCCATGGACTGACACCGGTCTGCAGCATACCAGAAACCAGTCCACGCAAACAAACAAAGCCCCATCCACAGTATACAGGCAGCACACAAATAATATTATAGGGAAGGTCGGGAATGAAAGATTGAATAGAAAGCATGATTGATAAGACATTGAGGGATATTATTGTAACTGAAGATGGAGGTTAAGGAAGTAAGCCAAAGATTTTATGAAAGCAGTGAATATTAAGAAGGAATGCAAAAGATTGAACGGGTGGTATGTGTCGTGGAAATGAATTTTAACCATAAGTAGCACCAAGGGAAAGTTGGTAGAATTGTTTGAGAGTAGACAACCAGGAACCTGAGGCTACAGGCTAGAGATGACATTGATGATTGTAATGAGAAATAAACCGAAAGTGAACCCAGATCTCGAATTTGGAGTGAGTGGAGTACAAAGGAATGGCATGTTCAGAGTTGCCTTGTACCGTGAGATGGGGGGCAAATTGATAATAATGTTGATTCATTCTGCTTCCTGATCTGTTTGTCTTGCAATAAATTACCGCGGTGTCATCCATTCTATCCAGCATGCCATCTCTGCAATTGTGTTGGAACAATGGAAAGTGGCATTTATAGAATGTTTTTTTTTCAATTTGTAGAAGGGTTTGTGGGACATGCCATGGACATCTTACACTGACCTCTTAGTCATGAGACAAGATATTAAAATATAGTCATAGGTTTCATAAAAATTTGGCAGTCAACTTCAATTGATGCATTACCACCTGGAAATCTTAATATTAAAGATGACACAAATAAAGTTATGCTAAAAACTGCATCTGTTACTTTCTTTTACAGGAAAAGAAAATCAGAGTGTCTCTCCCTTTAACAAGAGGACCAAGTGCCTTTGTACCAGAGAAGGAAGTAAGTTTTTTTTTCTTTTTTTCTTTCTTTTAAGAAATGAACATTAAGCAGCAAAGCAATGCAAAGAGATTATGGACCCATTGAACAATTTCCACCACAGCCATTTCAATTTCTGGAATGTCCCAACAGTTTAAAATCCCAAGTTTTGAATCAAGCTATTGAGGCAGTGGCTTAGTCTGATGTATAGGAAATTCAAAAGCTTAATCTTTGGTAACAAAACTTACTAAAAAAAATCTATTTTTCCCCCTCTTGTGAATTAAAATAATTATTTTGAACCTGGATATTTATGTATTTGACTTTAAATGATTTGAATGCTCTTGGTTGTTAAGAATGTATCAGCTAGAGTGGATTGCATATTATGAATATTTATGCCATATTAAATTTTGCATTTTAATAATGGTCTAAGCTTCTTCAGCTTTTGGAAAAAAAACCTGTCAAGGAGGAGAAATATTAGGATAGATTTGAAAATAATATGAATCTGGTACTGAATAGTAATAGATCTTTATTTGTGCCTGTTGTACCGGAATGTCCCCAAATTGTGCAGTATAAGGATATGGTACTGTTAAAATTAAGGGGTTTAGGGATGAGGGGCTGTTAAGGAAGAATTATGATAAAACTGCAGCTAAATAGTCAGGATACGGGGAGATAATACACAGAGCAGTACTTTCTTGGTAATGGCTTAGCAATGATAGAATGGTTGGGGAAAACTTGTTTGGCCATTTCACTAATGGATTTGAACAATTCTAACCACCTGTATAAGCCATAATATAATTGTTTACCTAGACCAGGGGTAGGCAACCTTGGCTCTTTTATGACTCGTGGACTTCAACTCCCAGAATTCCTGAGCCAGCCATGCTGGCTCAGGAATTCTGGGAGTTGAAGTCCACGAGTCATAAAAGAGCCAAGGTTGCCTACCCCTGACCTAGACAATCCTAAAAAAGAACCATAAGGTCTTTGTCTTCTGTTTTTCAAATCCTGTCTTATTTTATTTTGCTGTACCTGGACTTAGAATATTGCTTCATTTTTGTTCTTTGCTCTACCTACTTTTTCTGGTATTGGCCAAAGAACAAAAAGAACAGACTACTTCCGTTAGAACTGCTACCTCACGCTGCGCTCTGCAATCATTTCGGTTCCAGTCTGCCATGGAACCTGGGGGGACGGGAAAAACGAGGGGGAGCACTTGAGGGTAACGTGAAAGTTAAGAAAGTGCCTGAGACAATGTTTCAAGGTCACTCCACGATGAGAAGAACATAGCTGCAAGCCAGCCTACAATCAGAGTGGTTGTTTCTAAAACATCTTCTTTGAAATTGATTGGACAGTGGGGGGACCAGCAGTGGGAAGTATCTAAGCAGGAAAAAGTTTTCACTTGGAGTTTTGGCACACGAATTTTAGTTCTGGCTTTGCACTACGGTAACTCACTTGACTTCTAGTAAACTATACCTTTCTCACCAAGAGGAGTTAAGGATCGTTTTTACTTAGAAAATCAAGCTGAGACAGGTCTGACATTAAGCCAGAACTGCATTACCAACCCACCCAGAGATATAATCTACCGTGGGGTTTTTGCAAACCGTACCTTTCTCAACCCGATGGTGTTAAGGATCGTTTTTACTTAGAAGCCTAAGTTGAGACAGGTCTGACAACTTATCTTCAAGACCGACACTAGCTTTGTTCAACAAATTTTACCTCAGCATTATGCTAAACCTCTTAGGATAAGAGGTTTCTTCAGATGGCCTTCAGTTCACCTGAAATTCTGTCATACTATGGCTGATATTCTACTGTATGTATGTTTTATTATTTTTTTATTATTATTGTTATGGTGTAATCATTTTTTTTAAAAAAAGTTCTCTCATTTAATCTTCTTTAAACTTCCACACCTGCTTCTTCTTAAAGCATGTCTTGGAATAATTATTTATACCATACAAAACTGGATCAGATCAATGAAGTCTACCTTGCTTTTGAACCCTCTCTAAAGGTTATGCAAGCCAATAGTTTGAATGAACGTATGCATCTGCTTGTGGAAGAATATTCTACATCTGGTCGCCTAGACAACATCACTCAGGTCATGAGTTTACACATTCAGTACCTGGAGTCTTTTCTCCGCAGTCAATTTTATATGTTGCGCGTGGACGGTCCTCTTCCTTTGCCCTACCGGCACTACATAGCAATCATGGTAAGCCCTGAAAAAGTCTAATATCTCTTCTTGATTCATCTCCCATCATAATTACATTAGTATATTTTCCACTAGTGTTGTAAGTTGAAGCAAGTGTCACTTTCTTTTGAACTGGAAGGGGATAAAACTGTCACCCACATCTAATTGATCTAGCAGCTGGACCCGAGACACACACACGCACACAAACTATATATATAGTCTAAAGTCATAGATGGAGTTTCTTCATTCTTAACACATTACAAGCTTTGTTCACCCAAAATGTGGTTGTTGTGAGCTATCTACGATTGTGTGAGATATGTAGCCAATGAGTCATTTAAATAATACCATTCAAAATAAGGAATTCTGAATTCTGCACTTGGAAACAATTAAAACAATAATCTATAGCAGGGGTCTAACCCTTGGTCCATGGACCAGCACTGGGCCACAGCGTGCCAGAAATCGGTCTGCGCAAATAAGCAAAGCCCCATCCGTGGGATGCAGGCAGTACATGAACCCCCCGCCCCCCGGTCTGCAGAAAAACCTCTCTCCACGGAACTGGTCCCTGGTGCTCAAAAGGTTGGGGACCTCTGATCTATAGTTTTCAAAAAACAAATTTTGCAACAGCTAAAATACAACATTTTCAATGTTCATAAAGAATCTTTCCAGTAGTCACAAAACTTCTACTGCAGTACAGTATATTGTTGTTCTCATAGTGGTGTTGGAAGGGTTACTGTATGGCTGAATAATAGCAGTTTTCTTAAGGCCACAATGAATTCCTGGGAAAGGCAAAAATTAAGCAAATGGCTTCTACCCTTACAGCTCTCTGTCACAATTGCTGTGGCAGAGTTCACTTGCTTTGTACAGGACATTCATGCAATGGGTACACATAGACTTAGCCATTTTAGGCTTGGCTACTCTCCCATTCTGTGTCCACAATATACAGGTAGTCCTCGACTTGCAACCAAATTTGAACCCCAAATTTCTATTGCTAAGCGAGACATTTGTTGAGTGAATTTTGCCCCATTTTAGGACATTTCTTGCCCCAGTTGTTAAGTGAATCACTGCAGTTAAGTTAGTAATACGGTTGTTAAGTGAATCTGGCTTCCCCATTGACTTTGTTTGTCGGAAGGTCGCACAAAGAAGAACCCCCGGATGCTGTAATTGTCATAAATATGAACCAGCTGCCAAGCACCCAAATTTTGATCACGTGACATATGCTGCGCACACTTTCATAAGTGTGAAAAATGGTCATGAATCACTTGTTTTTTTTTAGTGCTGTTGTAACTTTGAACAGTCACTAAACAAACGGTTGTAAGTCGAGGACTACCTGAATATATTTCACACATCTTCTTTTCTGGTAAAACAATTGCAGTGAAGTTTCTTGTAAGCTTTTCTGTAGAAACCCTTGAATGCAGGGTTCTCTCTTCCTTATTGTAAAGCTATTTTTTCCTCTTACATCTGCCTACCCGTTTTCTAATCTCTTATCATAAGCTCATGTTCCTCTTTGGGTTTTATCTTTAGGCTGCTGCCAGGCACCAGTGTTCCTATCTAATAAATATACATGTGGAAGAGTTCCTGAAGACTGGAGGGATACCAGGATGGCTGAATGGCTTAGAATACATTCCTCAAAGGCTGAAAAATCTGAACGAAATCAACAAACTGCTTGCACACCGACCTTGGCTGGTTTCCAAAGAGCACATTCAGGTATATGCTTATATATATATTAGAATTGGCTAGAGAGGTAAGCCAGATGTTCAAGCATTTGCCTGTGCCAAAATTATACAGCGTTTGCTAGGATTTGATAGTCTCCTTACAACTTTCTTTGAGCTCTGTGTCAACTTTCTGCAAATCAGACATCACCAAGTCGAGGAATAGAAAAGCAGTCAGAAAGAACATTTATAAATGTGGCTTCTCTCCTGTCGATACCGCCTCCTAAAGCTGTTTTTCCTGTTTGGTTGAGGGGTTTGGGGGCCTTTTTTTATTAAAAGATCTGTCAGGCCGTTGGGAAGTGTGTTTGTTTACTTCTTTTCAAAGGAGGAAGAGATTTGCAGGCCCGGTTTGTCATACAGGTGAGCAAAACTGCACCTACTGAAACTCCTCTTTGCATATCTAAGTCATGTTGTAATGCCTGGGAAGCGATAAGTTGCCCCTTCTAGAGGGAGTGAGACAGAGCTAAACAGAAAAGTTTTTTTTTATGCTTTTGGCTTTTGGCTTTTTTTTTTTTTTTTTTTTAGAAAAGAACTGGTTCATGTTTACAGTTTGGCATAGAGCAAATATGGCTTGCCTTCCTGGCATTCCACTTGAAATTTAATACAATTAAACTGTAAAGTACCTTAAAGCAGGCGTGCACAAGGTTAAGACCACCCTCGCCTTTTCAATAGCACACCAGAGGCAAGATTCCAGTAATTGGCAAGGCTAGAATACAGTCAACTTTGATTTAAATTAATTTCCTTTTTTAAAAATAACCTCTCTAAATGAGTTAAATATAATTAATATGATTACTGGCTTTTTATTTACGATGCTTCCCTTTCATATTAAAAAAGATATCTTTCACCTTTGGAAGGACTCTTGGCTTTGTGGATGAAATGTAACTGAGGAACCTTTATCTATAAATAGGAAATATAGCCAACATGCAGGGTTTGAGATTCGTAATCCTCATTTTTATTCGAAGTTTGGCAAACGAGAGTCCCTGAGCCTTTTCATTTAAAAAATAATCTGCCCGAGATATCAAACCATCTAATTATAATCCTGGTTAAACACCAAAGGGCCTTGTCTTTCCATTTTGATTTATATTTTACAGCAGAAAGGTTGGGAAAAATGCAGTACCTCTAAATTACGTTGTAACGATTCAAGGAGATTAGGCTAGAAAGCTTTTTGGCATGCTTTGGTTTTGCTGCTTCCAACTCAGAAATTAAAACTTGACCGAGGACTCTGCCTGTTTCTTGTGCCCATATATAAAACGAAAATTCACATGTGTAGTGTTTTTTCTTCTTGTTTTGTTTCAGAAACTTGTGAAGACAGGGGAAAACAATTGGTCTCTTCCTGAACTAGTGCATGCCGTGGTCCTTTTGGCACATTATCACTCCCTGGCAAGTTTTGTTTTTGGCAGTGGCATCAATCCAGAGAGAGATTTTGGGACCTCAAACGGCTACCGACTCATATCAGTTAACAACTTCTGTGTCTGTGATCTTGCCAATGACAACAACATTGAAAACGCATCCCTCAAAAGTAACAGCTTTGGGGTTAGTTGTTCTTTTCTTGTCTCTCCTCTCACTTTTGTTGATGTTATAAAAGCTGGCTTGGAAAGGGAGATCATTTCGGCTTGCGGTTTTCTCTGGAGTCTATCAATGCTTGGAATGTGGGAACCAAAACGCAAATCCCAACAGAACTAGGATCAAATGTTGGGTGGAGAACAGGGAGGTTAGTTGTAGGGCAGGGCCAGTTCTCGGTGGAGAAAACACTGCTGGGATTCAGGGGTAGGCAGTTGGTAAAGATCCTGAAAAAATGATCCATAGGAAATGCCAGGAAATGGAGGGGACAACATTTCCCAACAATATTTCTTTTAAATTGCTGGGCAATAATGATTTCCTTCTTATACAGAAAATATAATTGAATCCCAAACTGGAAAGAAAAATAAAATTTTCCCTAAACTTCAGAAAATTTTATTAATACAGATAAATACATAAACTGCAAAACAGAAAAGAAAAAAAGAAAAAATAGAAAGTGCAGAAAGGAAAAAAAGAAGACAAAGAGAAAATAAAAAATAAAAATATAGTAAAGAAAAAAACCCAAATATATAAAGAAATGAATTCCCTTTCCCAACAAGTATAAACAATTTTAGTAATTTATCACCCTCTCTTAAAATACAACAATGTCTTTATTTATAGCTTCATCCCTTATCTATAAACAAATTCTTACACTCCTCATTCAATCCTGGTCAGCAAAATTCTATTAACGGGTTACCAGAAATAACAACATATCTGTTTTAAGCTTGATTTTAAAAACCATTTTAAATTCATTCCTTTTATTTGTAACAATCTTGATCTTTAATTCTTTCAAAGTATAATTCTAGAACTTTTCATTTTTTTCTTTGGCCCTTCTCACAAAATCTTTCAGAACTTTAAAAAGTCTCTTTTGTAAGTTCAATATAAGAGAGTTATTGCTCTTTTGCTCTTACCATTTATGCATCCCCTATAATTATTAAGACATTGGCTGGTTTCATTTGTAAATCCAGTCTAGCATCTTTTTCCATATCATTCTTGTAGCTTATCATTTTTAAATCCACTTTGAGATTTGTGTCAGCCTTATCCAGTAAAACTTGTTCTTCTTCCATAACATCTTTTAAACACAGTCTATTTACAGAAGCAGACACTCTTAAAATTAACCTCTGGGTCCATTGTTCAAAAATATCCTCCAAAGCATCCAGTGTTCAAATATTTTGTTCCATTCTGTGGTAACAAATTTAAGTGTTCTTCTCTTATAATTGTAATCTTTAGTTTCTTTTGGTTCCCTCTAGTGTCCAAGATTCAATTTGCCATCTTATCATTTCTTTTAAGACAGCTTTTTCTAATAAGAAGGATTGTAACGATAATTTGAAAAAAAAATATTTCAAATCATCTGGACCTTTTGTCCATTTATTACAACTTTCTGAAATCAATATTCTAATCACCTTAAACTTATTTTGAAACTTCTTTCAATAAGGATTAAAGTAGACTCACCTTGCTCATGATATCAAATTTGTTGTTCAGAAGGTTCTTAATAGTTGAATAACAACTATGGAGCAATTTCAAAAAGTGATTAAGAAATACATTTCCACAAAACTTTGTGTCCATAAGGCTATATTATGGCTGTGAACTTGGTGGAAATCCCTCAACTCCCAGCCATTCCAATCATGAGCTGTCTACTCATGAGGAGGTGCTGTCTGGAGTGCAAGTGGATGATCCCATAATCTCTCCTTTATCAAGAGAAGCTTGGTTAGCCAGACATCTGGTCACCAATCTGTTTTGGCTGTTTTAATTTGAATTTTTGCATGAAGCAGGAATTTGAATTCAATAACCTAAATGGTATTTTCAGCTCTATGGTGTATGTTAACTATTTTCTTAATAATTGTCTACGATGGCTAGGGAAGAATACAATTGCTTCCTCTCCAATTTGATGAAAAATTACTCATAAACGTCCTTGGAATATAATGTTTGAGCCAGCTGAGTGTTGTCATTTATGAAAAATAATACATAAAGTTTCAGATGGCTCCACAGCTAGATCTTTCGGTTTTTCTGTACAATATACATGGTTTGAAGATTTCACTCATTCAAAATACATAGGCATACCCTGAAAACATTTCTCTTTTGACCCTGACCTTTCATCATGTTGTTCATAATTTTTATTGACTAGATAACATCTTGGATATCCGATTTGAAGAGGATTGCTTTTTTTGTCAGCTGTTAGCATTTTGCTGTTGCATTTAAATATATATTTTTGTGTGTCTTTACTCCTTTTAGTTCTCAGACATTTGCTAAGGGTTTTCAGTTGACTTCTGTTCCCATCTTCTACTTTTTTCTTATTGGGATTTTTTGCATTTGGGCTTTTGATGTCTCCTTTTTTTAGAAATTCCTAGTGATTTTAAACTCCTTTTCCCATGGTTTCTCCTGCCATGAATTTGTTTTGTTAAAATTTACATTTTGAAGTCCAAGATACCTATCTGGCCATACTGAGCTTTAATTGCCAGTGTCCTTTTTTATTGTTCACTGATCATTTTAATAAGTCTTATTACTTCAGCATTCTTATCTGTTTCTACATAGCTTATATTTTTATCTGAGGTTCTCACTTAGGAAATTTTACTTCCAGCTCCCACAGGATTCAATTGAAAGCCCTTCTGATCAAGCTTATCATTCTTTGGGCAGATACATTTTCAGCAGCATATGGTGCAACCTCTCCTATGCCTGCAGACCATAATATAGATAACCCAAACCATGGTCTCCAAAAACAGATCTCTTTGTTAACTATACAGTTGTTGGTCTGCCATCCACTTGCATTATTCTGTCTTTTTCCAACTCAAGTCCATGTTCATGAAATTAGAACTGCTCTAGGCAGAATCATCTACATTCACATGAATTAACACCAAGAATAATTGTCAGACTTGATATATATTCTGCCAATTGTAAAGAGCAGGATGACTAGGCAGGATTAAATTTTGAAACTAGTAAACCTTAGAAGTTGATTTATCTATATTCTCAACCATCCTCCTGGCAGAAAGTACATTTCATAAGCCAACAGGTCTGGCTAGTCCATGATTTGTTTTTGGTTCCTCATGGTAATTAGCCTATACTTTGACTCTTCTCTTTGCCTTCTCCAGAGCATAGTTGAATCCCTTTGTTCTTCATGAATCCATTCTCTTATATAGTGATCAACAATGTCTTTTTTTTTTCTTCCCCAAATGCTGAAGGGCTCTTTATTCTGCAGAAGGCTCCAAGCTGAGTTCCGGCAGTGCAGAATATCTTCTGTAGCTTCTTATTATGACCAGTCACACATTCAGCCAGAGGTTTAGACTGGATTTGGTATTTTTATCCACTTATCAAGTTCTTCCCAAGGACCTGGGATAGGCAGATGTTGCTGTTTTATGGTGTTAAAAGTATCATCACAAGGTGTAGGCCACAGGTGTCAAACTGCCGGCCCGTGGGCCGAACGTGTCATCCGGAGCCGCACCCACCCCATTGCCGGCAATGGCAAAACCGTCCCGATACGTTGTGCGACGTCACATGACATCGCGGATGTCAAGTCTGCTAACATTGGATGTTCTTGCTTGCCATATGTGAAGAAGCAAACATATCTTATTTAGCCTACATATCACTTCAAGAGTTAAAGCAGACAATACTAGCCCAGTGAGTGGGAAGGTATGCCAGCTAATCATAACAATACCTTAGCATAGCACAGCCAATGTCAGCGTAACAGGAGAAAATAGGGAGGTAGCAATTCACACTTCAAACTAATTGGAGCATATGATTGATGACTGTGAAAGGAGGGAGGGAGTTGTGCATTGTCACGAGTGCTTGGGTGGTGGGGGGTTCAGTTTTTGGCTTTCTATTGTTCGTGGGAAGCTTTAAGGTAATCAAGTCTCAAAGTTCTTTGAAAAGCTACTTCTTTTCGGAACCATGACAGCGAGTTTGACATGTCTGGTGTAGGATGTTCCAAGTAAAGTTATTTTTAGCAGTTGGCTGATGCATGAATGAAATGAAATGAATTCTCAATGCCAATATTGTTCAAGTGGTGTTCCAAATGTTTTGAAACTGCATCAAAGGCTGGTCGCCTATTCCTAGCGGTACTATCTTTGCTTTCTTTTGCCACAGTCATTCTACTTCTATATGCAGGTCTTTATGTTGGTGACTTTCTCCAGTACTTCTATTCTATTGTCTCCAGGTGCTGCCACATCCACAGTCCAGAATTCTTTGTCTTTCTATCAACAGTTGTTAAGTTTGGGGTGTTACACGGCAGGTGTTTGTATTTGTCTGTTTAAATTCTCAAAGCCTAGAGCACTTTAGCTTCTTCATTTTTGCCTATTTTGTGGTCCCACCAGTTATCATACTCCCATTAACTGGGTTTGCTTCTTTGTTTGCTTCTCCTCCTTATGGAGAGATGTATTCTCTGTCAGCTATGGTTATAGTGTCTCTGTTGTTGTGATTACTGAATCTTCCCCACTTTTGAACTGGTTTGGCTACTTGCATTTGTCATCTTCATTTTTCTAAGCACTGCTGCACATTTGCACCTGCTACACAGAAACGCCAGGCTGTTGTAGGGATGAAAATCAGAATGCTGCAAGTATTGCAAATTGTGACTGAAGATTCAGGGTCACTTGTTTTCATTTTTGTTTTTTAAGGCAAGGCCAGTAAAAAGCTTTCATTTAAAATATAGTAAATGTGTCATTCCCTTACCTACTTCTTCCACTTCCATATCAAGCCCCTATCAATTTTTGCATAATTGTGACATAGGGGGTATTTGTAGTTGAGAGAATTGCAGACAGGTTCCATTAATCATTTTAATGTTTTTTTCTATAATTTTATTAAAAAGGTTTTGGGGAAAAAAAGATTAAAAACTAATACAGGCCATCTCATTGAATTCAAATGATGTTGTTCCCTCACTTTTTCATGCAATCCACATTCATTCAGCATCCATTGATGTTATTTCAGCTTCTCATATGACACGCACTTCCTCGATATCCTGTTTTCACTACATCCAACTTGGTTTTATGTTTCTTCTGACATATTCAGCTGTTGCTTCTTGTAATAGGCAGAAGCATGGTTTTATTCGCGGCCACCACAGGTAGCGGGAAAGGATGGATTGTTGTTATTGTTGTTGTTTTGACATAATTTAGCCAGGAAGAGAACATGGGTATCCCTCTTCCCTCCCTCCAAAAAATTTGAGTATAAAATATAAAAAGTAGAATGGTGCTATAGAACAGAATAGAGCAGGCGTGTCAAACTTGCGACGTCACATGATGCCGCACGGCGATTTTTTTTCCCCATTGCCGGCAATGGGGTGGGTGCGGTTTCGGAGTGACGCATCCAGCCCGTGGACCGGCAGTTTGACATGCCCGGAATAGAGTATAGAATAGAGATGAGCTCCCATCACACGCTCCAGCTCCTGCTGACCTAGCAATTTGAAAGCAGGCAACCGCGAGTAGATAAATGGTTACCACTTCAATGGGCAAGTTAATGGGAACATGAAAGGAGCCCCCAATTGGGCATCCCCTGGGCTACAGTGGTATCACTGTTGAAACCTTTCCACCCCGCTTCACTGCTCTACTTGCAGTACAAGTAGAATAGTGAGCAAAAATGAATTTCCTCTCAAAAGAGTATCAATAACTTGTCACATTCTTCCTACTTGTGGTCTGTTCTAGCTCTCCAATTCATTAAGCGAGCTGGAAGCCTTGATGGACAGAATGAAGAGACTGCAGGAGGACGACGAGGCTTCCCCAGAAGAAATGGACACACGCTTTGAGAAGGAAAAATCAGAGAGCCTGCTAGTTGTTACTGAAGGTATTGCCCTCTGTGTGCTCCAGTGGAGCTCCTTTCAGAATTCAGATCAGTCCCCTGAATTAAATAAAAGCCAGTAAACTACAAAAGTGGTTCCCAGGTGCTGGAGGTTGTCCTGAGCCAGTTTATACATGCAGGGAAATCTGATTTCTTCCGACTCAGTCATTTCAGAGTATTCTAAGCGGGGACACTCTTTGCATGTTCCTCTACCCTGGTAATAAATCTTTAATCATAAAAAGTCTGGAAGGCTTTAGCTCATCTGTCTCCGACATGCTAATTTTGCAAAAAGAAAATGAAAACGAAATTAAAAGGTGTATAAAGAGTTTTGGAATGTTCAAATACCTAATTCATCACCGGGAATATGAAGTGACATATTCCAAAAAAAAAAAAAAAAAAAGCTGTGCCCCAGGTAGCTCAGTAAAATCTTGGGAGACTGTAGAGCAGAATTTCTCGACCTCAGCAACTTTGAGACGTCTGAACTTCCAATTCCCCAGCCAGCCATGGGGTAACACGGGGCACATGTAACACCTTTGCTCTGCGAACTGCATTGGGTGCCAGTTTGCTTCCAGGTCCAATTCAAGGTGTTGGTTATGATCTTTAAAGCCATACATATCATGGGCCCAGGCTACCTAGGGCAGGGCTTTTCAACCTTTTCACCCATTGTACCACTTTTAGGATATGGCAACATCCGAGTACCACCAGTCGCCTAGCAAGGTGTCAAAAACTTGATGACCCCCCCAAAAAAAGGAAAAAAGTGATAAAGTACAGGTAGTCCTCAACTTACAACAGTTCACTTAGTGACTGTTCGAAGTTACAATGGCACTGAACAAAGTGCCCCCCCAAGCCACAGCCGAGCAAGACACCTGCCTGCCCACCCGGCGGCGCTCTTCCTCCTGTCCGAGGTTTTCATTGTTGTGAGCATTTCTGTTGAGGATTGGCAGCGGAGGTGGGGTGGGGGGGTGTTTGGTTTTTATTCCCCCCGTCTGCTGGGTGGTTGCAGCAGGTTTTGGTCACTTCACATGACCCTGGGACTCTGTGACTGTCATAAATATGAATCAGTTGCCAAGCATCTGAATGTAAATCACAAGACCCTGGAGATGCTGCAACATTCCAGCTGATCGGTGCTTCTTCTGGGCTCAGCAGAAGCACCAGGATCAGTGCCGAGCTCCAGCTGGACCCTAGCGCTGATCCTGGCGCTTCCACTGAGCCCTGACAGTCCCGAAGAAGCGCTGATCCTGGCGCTTCCGCTGAGCTCTGACAGCCCTGCAGCTCCAGCCATCTCTCGCTCAGGCTTGTGCGGTGCTGCCACCAGTTCAGCTCATTCCCCTCCCCTGCTACTTTTCTAGGATGGTCGCGTACCACCTGCCAGGTGCCAATGTACCACAGGTGGTACCCGTACCACTGTTGAAAAGCCCTGACCTAGGGAAGCATCTTCATCCCGTTGCATCAGCCGGTCCCACCCGGTCAGGGAGAGAAGGTATGTTGCGGAGTTTCAGCATTCTGACTGGCGGGGTCCAAGAAGAAAGCCTTCTTTGCCATCACCCCCTGCTCTGTAGATTATTATTCCTTTGGAGGTGAGGCACGGCCCTTACTATTTTGGCCTTCCGAAAAGGAGTAAAACACGCGGCCTTGGGTGAGGAGCACGGAGGAGCAGGCAGCCGCGGGGCTGCTTAGCAGCCTGAAAGCACTTCTTTTGCCTTTTAATAAAGCATAAGTGTTTTAATCAGCCTTGATTTAAAAAAAAAATAATCTAACTTTTATATCCTTTTTAATTTTTTAATATTTTACTCTGCAAGGGAGATGAGCACTTCCGAAATGTGGTAAATAAATAAATTTACAGCAAAGCTAGAAATTCCCCTCCCCCCCCCCTGGTGAAATGGTACATGTTATGCTCTCAGCCCCCAGGCACTTGCTGAGTAGGGATCTTGGCCGGGGATTTTATTTGAATGTGAAGTCACTTCACTTCCTCCAACAGAGTTCTGTGCCAGTTCTTCAGCCCTAGACATCCACCCAATGTTTAAACATCAACTCCCTTAATCTCTTAACAAGCATGTTCAGTGTTGAGAATTCTGGGAAATAACATTTACATATGTAGAAGGTGTGTCGGATGGAGAAAGCTGGATTGGTGGGAAGAAGGAGAAAGATGAAAGTTGCCTCTAGAAGTTGGGGATGCTCCAACACTGGAGGTTTTTAAGAAGAGAACCATTCGTTTGAAATGGTATAGGATTTCCTGCCTGAGCAGAGGGTTGGACTAGATGACCTCCAAGGTCCCTTCCAACTCTGTTATTTTGCTAAACCCAAAATCTAGGCTTTCAATTATTGTAGAATAAAAGTTACTGCATTCTTCCTAGGATAGCACAGAAATCCCCATGAAGGAATGACGTATGTTGGTATCTTTGTGATGCCCAAATTATTACAGTGACTAGCACAATGGAAAAACTGAGCTGAACAGCTGGAAAAGAGGATTAAAAAAGGCTGCATTTCATACCCTTCTATTATTTTTAAAACTAATATTTTTGAAGCAAATTATCTCATGCAGTAAACATTTTCTTATGTCACTCAAAATGGAAAAGGCAGAGGATACAGGCTGTAAAGATAAGGCAGGTGAAGACTTTTTTTACTGCTTAGTTTCTGCTTTTAATAATCTGTTCATATTTAAAAAAAAATAATGCTGTCACAGACTTCCAGAAAGCCTGTTCCAAAAGAGATGGCAGGAATCGGTCACAAAACAAAGAGTAATTCAAGGCTTGACAACTTTGATTTCTTAAACTGCATTAAGAAACTATTTGGATGCTGGCCAATTAGGTTTCTTCCCACATAGTTATGTTTTAATTGGCTAATGAGCCAGAATAAAAATAAAGGTGTCCTTGTGATAGTTGGGTGGTGAACAGAAGGGTTTCTTTTTAATGGGGCTAGTAATAGACACAGAGCAGGTTCCCCACCCAATTTCATTAGGATGACTGGGAGTCAGCCCAGATGGGGAATCAAGATAATTTGCAAACAACTTTGTAGCAATCAACCTTCAAAAAGGATATTTCGTGAACTTAAATCCTTTGAACATTTAGTTGGCAGAGAGGAGCAAATGGATGGAGGCTTTCTTGATAAGAGAAATACCCTGTCTTTAATTGTTGGTGTTGATAGTCCTCTACTTATAACCCTTTCTTTAATTACTGTTTGAAGTTACAGCAGCACTGAAAAAGTGACTTACAACCAATCCTTGCCCTTACAACCATTTGCAACATTCTCGAAGTCATGTGATCAAAATAAGGGGGCTTGGCAATTGGCATGTATTTACAAGAGTTGCACTATCCAGAGGTCATGTGATCACCATTTGTGACCTGCACTGGCTTCCACCAAGCAAACTCAATGGGCCAAGCTAGATTGGCTTACCAACCACATGGCTTACCGGCAAAAAAATTGGGCATGACTCAATGACCGTATCACTTAGCAATGGAAGGTCTGGTCTGGTCCAAACTGTAGTTGTAAGTCAAGGACTATTTTTATTGCTGGATCTTCTCCATATTGCTCAGGAAATTGAGGAATTTGGCTTTTATCCAGATATCTTTTTTCATCAGCTTTACTCAAATGGCACTAGGGCAGTGGTGGCGAACCTATGGCACGCGTGCCAGAGGCGGCACTCGGAGCCCTCTCTGTGGGCACGCACGCCATGCCCCGGTGATGGCAACCGTCCTCTTCAACCAGCCGCCTGCTAACTTGCCGAGGTCCCAGGTGGCCAGATGCATCCCAGCACCCATGCGCTTGCTGGCCTTTATGTGCGGGGGCTGATGGTGTCAGGCAGCAGCCGCCCCGGCCCCTGCCTCGCCTTGCCCTGTGACATGGACCCCCACCCTGCCTCGCCTCACCCTGCAGAACCTGCCTCCTGCCCACCGCCCCACCTGCCAGAGACCCCTGGATCTCCCCCAACCCTGCCCAGCCCTCACAGGCGTCCCTCCCCAGGAGCAACATTGAGCTGGCCATGCCCACCCTGGCCATGCCCAACCATCTGCCATGACCACTGTAGCCACGCCCACCCGGCGGCCATGCCCACCCGGCACCCGGCAATATATAAGTGGGTTTTGGGTTAAAGTTTGGGCACTCGGTCTCTAAAAGGTTCGCCATCACTGCACTAGGGTGAAATCAAACTTGCTTGCTCTTGTTTTTCTTCTCCTGAGCTGTGGACAAATCTTTATTTGCCCCTGTTGACCTTGTGGGGCTATGACCACACTAGCCCAAGCTATGGCATTCAATAGATTGGCATTCTACTTCAAAACTAGGGGTATCTCTCTGGGCAGGATCCCTATAGTTTGCATGGACTTTTCCTTATTATCAGCTAAATGCTAGTTAAAAATTTGCAATACTGCATTCTAATAGCCCCTGAAGATACCTTTATATAGAGATCCTAAAACCTTGAATATCTCCAGTACTGACCCAGTGAATTGGAAATGATTCATGGAAGCTCAGCTGACTGGTGTTCTGAACTGAATGGCCCACCCTCGTTCAGAAGCATTTCAGGAATAATTGGAGTTTAATATCTTGGTAAAAGATTTAGTTTGCAAAAATATATATTTAAAATGAATCCCTCACTGTTACCTGCAAATTCTCTTTCAAGTTGTCTTTTTTTTTTTTTTTTTTGGCTAGGCATGAGCCCACAGTTGCATTTTGAACTTCCAATTTTTTTTAGTTTATTGAGGTCTCTTTTAAAATTGTCCAACTTTGTGCCACATGTCAAAACAACATCTCTAACTGAGAACGAACCAACTATCTTTTTTGCCTGCAACTGAATTTCATAATGTTAGATGTAGCTCAGACAGTAACAGTTCCCTTTCTAAATTCAGAAGTTAAAATTAGGTTGGGAGAAGCCAATGGGGATCCTTTGGTATCACATCCTTGTTTTGAGATGAATCTGATAAGGGGGGGGGAAAAGGTACATTTTACTATCTTTTCCTTTTCTTTCACAGCTTTTGATGACGAATTAGTTTCCACGGCTGATGTTTCCTGCTATGTTGAAGACCCTGGGTTTGGTTACAAAGATTTTGCAAGACGGGGGGAAGATCATCTTCCGACATTTCGAGCCCAGGTTAGTCACACGGATAACTTATTGACGGAGAACCAAAATAAGAAGCAGAGCTGTCTTTTGGGAGTGAGCGTCCTGGCTTTTGTTCAGAATGACTCTTTTTCTGTTACACCTCTGAACACAGGAATAACGTTCTATCCAGTCCACAATTGAAAGCATCGCCTGTTGGGTATTATGGAAGATTTGGATAAAAAAGAAATGGATTTGATGTTGAATTTGATAACTGCTGCAAGATTACTAGTAGCTCAATGTTGGAAAATGGAACGTTTGCCCACTATAGAAGAATGGTCACTTAAAGTTTCAAATTTAGCAGAAATGGCCAAGATTTCCGCTTATGTGAAGGATTATTCACAAGAAAGATATATTTTGGTTTGGAGAAGATGGATAGATTATATTGAGAGTAAATATGGTACTAAAAAGTTTCATTTGGTTTTTGAGTAAATTTTAGTGTGTTAATGTAGTTTATGTGTTAAAATTGGACACTTACTTTTATCTATAATTAATATGATGTTATAATTATTGTGTTTAACATGTTTGTTTAAAAGAGAGTTAAAGGATGTTACAGATTTGTTAATCTAATAGTTGATTAATGTTAGATAGAGTATGGTTATTGTATTGTTAACCCTGTGATTGGCTCTGGGAAGTGGGGGGGGAGGGAGGGGGAGGGGAAGGGTGGGTTTTGGGGAGGGGGGAAGTATATTGTAAAACTTTTATAAAATTTTCAATAAAAAAAAAAAAAGAAAGCATCGCCTGGTTGCTGCTTTCCGAGAGTCACACCAGGAATCTTCCAAGCCTTACCTAGAGATGCCTGGGGTTGCCCCTTATGACCTTTTGGCATGCAAAGCACATTCTCTGCCATTGAGTTATGATCTTTGCCCACGATTAATACATTCTTAAAGAAGCGTTATCGTTGGAGAAAAGATATCTCAAAAGTTTCTAAACTTAAATGAATCTAAGGAATTGCGTTTCCCAGAGTAATTCCCTTTTTTTCCCCCAACAATGAATTCATTTGCTGATGACATTTAAGCTCATTCTCCAAATAAATTAGAACAACTTTCAGGGAGGCACCGACATATACAGGTAATCCTCGACTTACGATCACAATTGAGCCCAAAATTTCTGTTGTTAAGCGAGACATTTGTTAAGTGAGGTTTGCCCCATTTGACTACCTTTCTTGCCACAGTTGTTAAGTGAATGGCTGCAATTGATTGGTTGTGAATGGCTGCAATTGATCGGTTAGTACCACGGTTGTTAAGTGAATCTGGCTACCCCATTGTCCTGAAGGCAGGACAAGAAGCAACGGATGAAAACTAACCAAAGAGAGAAGCAACCTAGAACTAAGGAGAAACTTCCTGACAGTTAGAACAATTAACCAGTGGAACAACCTGCCTCCAGAAGCGGTGAATGCTCCAACACTGGAAGTTTTTAAGAAGAGACTGGACAGCCATTTGTCTGAAATGACATAGGGTTTCCTGCCTAAGCAGGGGGTTGGACTAGATGACCTCCAAGGTCCCTTCCAACTTTATTATTATTATTATTATATATTGATTTTGCTTGTCAGAAGGTCGCAAAAGGTGATCATGTGACTTTGGAACACAGCAACAGTCATAACTGTGAACCAGTGGCCAAGCATCTGAATTTTGATGACACGATCAGGGGGCTGCTACAAAGGTCATAAGTGTGAAAAATGGTCATGAGTCACTTTTTTCAGTGCCGTTGTAACTTTGAACAGTCATTAAATGAACTGTTGTAAGTTGAGGACTACCTGTACTAGAACTTTTTTAAGTGTAGAAAAAGAACTGCTGAACTACAAACAAATTTGTGGAATTAACTTCTTTTATAGGACTATACTTGGGAAAATCACGGATTCTCCCTTGTGAACAGGCTGTATTCTGATATTGGGCACCTCCTGGATGAGAAATTTCGGATGGTCTACAACCTCACCTACAACACCATGGCCAGCCACGAAGATGTTGACACCACAATGTTAAGAAGAGCTTTATTTAATTACGTTCACTGTATGTTTGGCATCAGGTATGTTATACACCGGCTGGGATAATGGCTGTATTCAGCTGTTTCCCGACTTGTAGTAGTCACACTCTATAATCAGTGGATGTTATGTATGCACTGTAGTTACTTTATGTTTGAAAAATTAAATATGATGCAATAGAGGAGAGATAAATATTATCCTCTGGAGTGAAAAAACCTCAGTATGTGTTAACTTGTATTCCCCCCCCCTGAGTACAACCAAATAGAAGTGCATTAATGAATATGCATTTTTAATTAAAGAACAGAAATAAACACAGTCAAAAGTAATATGATGGCATCCGGTCTAGGTTAATAATCAGTCGCTATTTGTTTGTTTTTCCCCAAGAACTGAAGAAATGCTGTAGGATCAGCAGATATTGTTTTTTCCATTTAGGGGCAAAGTAAATATGATGTTACATATGCCTTGTTATTTAATACAGGCAGTTCTTATTCAAGCTAGTACATTTTTAACTGTATCAACTCAATGAAAACATCATTATTACATTTATCTACATTTTTAGCTTATACATATCTTAATCAGTCTTCATAAAACACCCCATATCCTATTATAAATTTTTACCTACTTTTTAGTTTCTCATCAATATTCCAATTAACCTTTAATATCCATAATTTTCAAACTTTGGGTAACCAAAGTTTCCCTTATCTCATTTCATAACAAACTATAAATATCCAAGTGCCTGGATTTTGATCACATGACCCCCCCTGCAATGGACGTGTGAAAAAAAGGGTCATAAGTCACTTTTTTCAGTATCGTCACTCCAAATGGTCACTAAATGAATGGTTGTAAATCGAGGACTACCCGTATTCTTTTAACATTTAACCCTAGTTTTCCTTCCCTGCTGAAGTCCTAATGAAAATTTCTGAAAATGCTGCAATTTGGGGACCAAATAACTGGAAGAAGTCTCACTTCATTGTTTCCGTTAGGTAGTTCACTCAGGGAGATGCAGGACGTTCCAGTACCTGGACTTGACCAAGTGCAAAACACCAAGCGGTGTTTTCAAAAGGCAAATAATAATTCAAAAAAACCTGTTAATAATCTTAAAACTACTTCATACCAGTTTAATGAAATAGATTCAGGAAACCCAGATTGCTCTAGTACAGGGGTAGGCCACCTTCGCTCTTTTATGACTCGTGGACTTCAACTCCCAGAATTCCCGAGCCAGAATGGCTCAGCTTGGAAACCTCTCCCTTTCCCCTCAGCATGGCTGGCTCAGGAATTCTGGGAGTTGAAGTCCACGAGTCATAAAAGAGCCGAAGTTGCCTACCCCTGCTCTAATATAATGCCCCTTCTTATGTTTTCTAGTGAAAAGGCTAAGTTAAACCAGAAAATGACCTAAACAGCTTTGACTCAGGATATGTGAAAGGCATAGATACACCTCCTGGAAAAGCATTTGTTTAGTGGAATGCAAGATTAGGCCTTTCTTGGATAATAATACTTAGGTGGGTGAAGAGACTCTGCTTAGCTTTGCTGTGCTTTTAAATATAGGGCGGAAGGTTTGAACTACTTTATTTTTTTAAAAAAATCGATTTCATTTATGTAATTTTTAAAATGTGTCTTTTAGTTTTCTTTTGTTTTCTAGTTTTTTGGGCAACCTTAGCAGGCATAACAAAAAAAATCAAAATATATTGGTAAATGATCAAAATCTAAATAATCAAAATCAAAAGATGGGTCAGCTAGTTTGGCCCTTATTCTTTCTTACTCAGAAGAACAATTATCCATGGTGAGTGAAACTCTCTTGGCCTATTCAGGATTGTTCAGCAACTTACATTCCTGGGTCAGGCATCGCTCAGTATCCAGCCCGACTTTTATTAAGTGGTTGTTCATTGCACAGTGAAGGGAGCCCCCAAAAGTCACATTAAAAAATTGCAAGGCTTCAGGTGATGGCCATCCTGATTTTTTGGGACACCTCCTGTGGATTTCTTTGATAGAGGATAAGCACTTATAACAGGGGTGTCAAACTTGCAACGTCATGTGACCTGTTGCAACATATCGTGACTTTTTTTCCATTGCCGGCAATGGGGTGGGCACGGTTTCACTATGATGCATCCGGCCCACGGGCCGGCAGTTTGACACCCCTGACATGTATTTTGAATGGAAGGTGAGAGAAGGACAGCTACTTTTCTCTTCTTTGCTTACTAATTTTTTTTCTGATCTGTATGAATTCTGGAGCATAGTTTATTCAGGGACATTCCTCTACACACACACATACGGTGCAAAATACAATCATTTTATGTTTGCAATATCTTTTCAACCCCACTTCTGCAGTATTCTTTACAGAACTTTTCAGATGGATGACCATTACTGAACTGTGGGTGAAATTTTGCTAACTAAATGACCCGAGGTTCTTGTGAATCAGGTTCCACAAAAATCTTAAAAATGATTTCCATGAAACAAATTCTTCTAAGAGGTTTCAACTCACAACTGAAATTGTGAATTCAGCTCCTAATTGTGAATTCAACTCCATCCTAGTAAATACGCTAGGTGAATTTGGTCCTAAGATTTTTAATGAAAATTGGCTCTTTTCAGATGCATTTCAGGTTAAAGTCTGACAAAGCTAACTGAACTACATCATATTGAAATCGTAAGATTTACAATCAGGCATTTTTATCCTGATGCCCAGTTTTAAAGGATTTTTCAAACCACCCCCGCCCCATCCCAAAAAGGAAAGGAATTGCTTTTTAAAAATATCACATGCTCAGCAAAGCTTTTCTCATTTAGATATGATGACTATGATTATGGGGAAGTTAATCAACTACTTGAACGGAACCTGAAGATTTACATTAAGACAGTGGCCTGCTACCCGGAGAGAACTACCAAGCGCATGTACGACAGCTACTGGCGCCAGTTCAAGCACTCAGAAAAGGTGAGTCCCTCAAACACATTAGCACACGTCCTTTTGGTACCTAACCTGGGAAATTGCATTTCTGCAGAAGCAAATTGTCACATCCATACACTAAGTACACCTTTCCATTGCATTAATATTCTGCACAACCACACGAGTGATCACCCTTCTTCAAAACCGGTGGGTGGAATGGTCTACGTTTAAAAGAAAGGAGATGGGATGGAAATTCTGTTTTAAGGCAGTGGCAGATGACAAGGATCCTGTAACATCTGGCTCCGAAGTAACTCTGTGACAGTTTCTTCTCACATTTAACATTCCAGGTCACGCTGCAAGCGATGAGAACTGAGCTGGCACTCCTGAACTTTTTATTTATTTGTAAAAATTTATCTAGGCACCTGAAACCGTATAGATCAGTGGTTCTCAACCTGTGGGTCGGGACCCCATTTGGGGTCGATTGACCATTTCACGGGGGTCGCCAAGCAAGGCTGTCCGCCATTTTTTTTGTCCACCATTTTTCCCCCTTTTCCGGAGGGTGCATTACCTCCCTTGGGCTGGGCCAGCTGGTGGACGGCCTGCTCCGTCTCTGCCGCTTGCCAGCTACGCCTCGGCCGGCGCAGGGGGCGGAACCACGCATGCGCGGCGCTCCCGGGCAGGGAAAGTCCTCGACTTACGACCGGTTGGGTAGTCCTCGACTTACGACCGGTTTAGTCCTCAACTTACGACCGGTTTAGTCCTTGACTTACGACCGGTTTAGTCCTCGACTTACGACCGGTTGGGGTCGCGGCATTAAAAAGGTTGAGAACCACTGGTCTAGATTCTAGGCACCTTATAGAAATTAAGCATTAAAAACACGAGAGCAATAAAAAATAATTATGGCTAGAATGAAACGTTCTAAAACTGAGATGTGGTATTATGATTGTCCCTCAGAGGCCTCCCCAAAGAGCCATGTTTTCACTAGCTCCTGGAAGGCCATGAGTGCGGGTGAGGGCACAGGCACTTCAGGATTCCAGAGGAGGGGGCTGCCACAGACAATGCTTACCAACAGATCTCCTGGTAGCTGGGGACACTCAGCAGTGCTCCTTCATTTTCTGGGGAAGACAGCTGGAAACTGTTCGGGAAAGGCTATTTCTAAGACACTCAAGCTCTGAGGCAGGTTGAGGCCTTCTAAGTCATGTCCCACACCTTATTATAGTCACAACCAGCGTCTTGAATTGCACACAGAAACCTATTGGTACCCAAAGTATAAAGTGGCATTATTTAGACCAATCACTAAAGGTGTAAATGTGGCTGTACTGGGACCAAGCACTAAGTCGACAGGCTGCTGCATTCTGGACCCTCTGAAGTTTCCAGGTGGCCTTCAAGGGCAGCTCCAGGTAGAATGGGTTACAGTAATCTCATTCCTTTAAACCTCACCACCCCACCTCTTGAAAGATCAAGCCGCTCTTTGAAAAAAGTTCTTAACACTATGAACAGCTCTCTCTGTCCGTGTATAATGGTATAGGGTTTCCTGCCTGAGCAGGGAGTTGGACTAAATGACCTCCAAGGTCCCTTCCAACTAATTATTATTATTATTATTATGGATCATCGTACAGTCAGCCAGATGTTTAGACTGGATTTGGCATTATTATTATTATTATTATTATTATTATTATTATTATTATTATTATTGTTGTTGTTGTTGTTGTTGTTGTTGTTGTTGTTGCTATTATTATTATTACTATTACCAATTTTTTGTCTCAAAAGTGGTTTTTCAAAAGGTAACTGGGCTGTTCTTTTGAGGACGAAGAAGAAGACATTTTGCTTCTCATCCAAGAAGCTTCAGCAGTTGTGATGGGGGGTGTTGTGTGTGTGGAAATGGAAGTCTTCTTTACAAACACACTTCACCATCCCAAATGATGAAGCTTCTTGGATGAGAAGTGAAACCTCCTCCTCCTCTTCTTCTTCTTCTTTTTCCTCTTCTTCCTCCTCCTCCTCCTCCTCCTCCCTTCTTCTTCTTCTTCTTCTTCCTCCTCCTCCTCCTCCTCCTCCTCCTCCTCCTCCTCCTCCTCCTTCTTCTTCTTCTTCTTCTTCTTCTTCTTCCTCTTCCTCAAAAAAAAAACAACAAAACCCAGTCCAGTTGCCTTTTGAAAAAGCACCTTTCAGACAGCTATGGCCTGGATGACTGAGAACCTCCACAGGCATTCACCAGTTTGTTTCGATCTTCCCTTAGGTCCATGTGAATCTTCTTCTGATGGAGGCTCGCATGCAGGCTGAACTGCTCTACGCCTTTCGTGCCATCACCCGTCACTTGACCTGATGGGCCCAGTGCAGTCGTACGAGCGAAGCTTCCAAATAAGACGAGCAGTAAACTGCTGCCCTATTGGGTGGCATCAGGCCTATTGGATTCCGAGGTTGGAAAGCTGAAGCTGTATCCTGTATCTGGCAGCTGTTACCGTGCAATCATCCCTCGCTCTTTTCTCTGTCCGTCTGTCTATTTCTTGATGCTTAACTTTACTAGCGATAGCAAACATAACACTGTGGAACGCTTCTCCTGAAGTGGCTCCCCATCGAAGTATTGCTCCCAAACCCTAACCCGGTTTGCTATCTCTTGATTCTTTGCTGTGTTTTTTTTCCCCCTCTTGAGCTCAGAATTTAAAGGCTATCTTTTGAGGTTCCAATTATCGCACTCGGTCTCTCCTGTAGACAGTATCGTGCACGGGATTGTCTGTCTCTTCTCTTTCTTTCCTTTAGCTCTTTCTGGAATATTAACATGCCATTTTCCTTCGTGCATTTGTATGCTATGTTTTAAGCTGAATTGCTCAGTTAGCTTGTTCTTAACATAACTCCAAGAAATGTAATTCTTCAGCAGTAGTTTGGAGGGTCATGTGGAATGAATGCAACTATTGTGTCTGGCTTTTTTTCTTTTTTTAATGAAAAATGTGAAAGCAACTGCTGCAAACCCCCGCAGCATGCTACTGACACACAGCATTGGAAAAACTGTTTCCTGAATGCAGTGGTTCTTCCCCTATCCATTTCAACTGTACAGGTTCAGGGATTGCCTTATCCTCTTTGGCCTATGATTGTGTCACTTTCTGCCTCTCCCAGTGCTCACAGAGGTTCTTGGCAACCCAAGTCAGCAACTCAGTTTTAACTTGGCATATGGGGATTTTATTTTATTTTTACCACATTTAACACGGATCAGGTAGCAGTGTGCTGTGTGCAAGTTCAACACACGTTGCCTGATCGAAAGGGGGGGGGGAATCTGCACAAATAGGTTGGTAGCTTTTTTTTTTTTTTTGTCCAAATAGAAAAAAATTGGGTTTGTGCTAACTCGTATCACCGGGGAATTGTGACCTGTCCTATTTTTGCTCTTCAGCTTCTCCCACCTTGTGCATCGAAGCATGGATTCTCTTGCTGATCTGTAGCTGCTTCTCTGAAGGTTTTATGTTGGGTGAGATCATTGTTCCACCTTGTCCATTATTATGAATTCTGGCTGGCAGTTTTTCTCAGGCAAGCCTCCTTAATTCCCTTGTAACTTGAGATCCTTTTGCTTGAGATTCCACTGACCCCTTCCACAAGCAGAGAAAGTGCTTTCCCCTGAAGTTACATCTTCTTCCATTGCTGTTTCTTTTTTTAAAAATATATATATAGAATAGTAATTACAGTGGTGTTAATTCAGACTTTAAGAAATTTGATTCCTCTTGTGTTTTCCCTGAGTGATAGTGTCTGAGCAAAAAGGCAAGTTTTTTTTCCCCTAACAAACTTCCTGCTGAAAAGTCCTGTTCAGAATGGCTGGGGAACAGCTGTTTGTTCTTTCCCAAACATTGTTCCGAACCTCGGCTTGCTTGCCTTTGAACAATCAGCTACTCCCACATTGCCAAAGCATCTATTAAACAAAATTGGGGTGGAGCACAGATCCCCGTACGTTTCCACGAAGCCTCGGTTCCTTCCAAATGGAGACGTCAAGTTGAGTTTCCCGAGAAGTGACTGGCAAATGTGCCACAGTCATTTTGAATAGGTGGTACCCATCGACGGTTGGCCTTTTTGAGGAAAATATGTGAATTGCCAAAAAAAAAACAACACAAAAAAGATCCCTTCTCCGTGGTGCTTTGAGCACACTCTTGCAGTTTTAGAGCACAAGATCGCAGTGTTTTTAATAGCTTTAAGTGTGTTATGTTGCATTTCAGCAAAGTGCCTGAATACTGAACACTGATCCACTGAAACAGTGACTTTTCAATGATGGGCTTATTCCAGGGAACACGAGTCATGACTAAGTCCCATTGAAATCTAAGCTGCTTTGGCCCAGTTGTGACTGTCTTGTCAGAGTTGACAGCTTGCCCACTGCCTTTGAGTGGATTTAATCTACCAATAAATCTAAGCACTGACCAACATTTTGGCAACAAGAGCTGGACCTGTTTTGATGTAGACTCTTCCCTCACCCACCCACCCACCTACCTACCTACCTACCCCTTTCCTGGCTTAAGACAAACTCCAGTTTGTTTTTCTGTGCTTTGGAAATGAACGAAATGGGTTTTCTAAATGAGCTGTAGAAAACAAAATAGAATCATTCAAAAACAAAAAGTGAAGGGTTTTCACAATGGCTTGTTTTATAAGAGGGATTTTGAAAGTCTTTCCGTAAAAGAGAGCAGACCGAGGGTATTTTGTTGAACTTTTCAAAACTTACTTACCATCCTTTGTGACAGGATGTTGTTCTCCCACCCCTCTCGCTCCGTTCAGAGTTTGAAATGATTGTGTTCGCTTCCCTGTACAGAGTTTTCTTCTGTATGTTGAACTGTAAGCTATTTTTGATATCAGCATTCTCTGAGGATACCTTTACTATACACTACAGATTTCTATCAGCTGCATCAGTTGCACAGTTGTGGCTTCTCTTCAAGAAATCTAGAAATTAAATTGTAAAAACCAATTTTTTAAAAAGAAAAATAGTATTCCCCTTCCACCCAAAAGATTATCTCCCTCCTGCTGTTATACTTTCTGCAGTTCCGCTTCATGGGGAGACATTCAATGGAATGGAGACAGCTGTTAAAGAATGGGGACTGGTGCAGGCACTAACCACACATCAACCTAAGCTAAGTTAGCTGCTGCTTGACAAACTTCCAGTCCTCCTTCCTTATAGGTGCAGATAGCACAGGAATTCCACAGGCAAAGGGAGAGGTCTGCCAATTGTTTTGCTATGGCAGAACTTGGGCACCTGTTCTTCGCTCAGCATTGGATTGCTGTGTTCAGAATCACGTTGAACTTATGCAAGAGTTGAGTATGCTTAGGAGGGTCAGTAGCAGTTTTAGTTTTGAGCGGACTCTGGCTTTGAAGTAGAGCAGGGGTAGGCAACCTTGGCTCTGTTATGACTTGTGGACTTCAACTCCCAGAATTCCATGCTGGCTCAGGAATTCTGGGAGTTGAAGTCCACGAGTCATAAAAGAGCCAAGGTTGCCTACCCCTGAACTAGAGTCATGCTTAAGGTGGAGAAAAAGCTGGTGAAGACCGGTCTTCCAACACAGAGTGACAGACCAACTACTGGAGAGAAATGTCTTTCCTTATATCTGTCTCTCTCTCTTTGCTCTGTGTCCTCAATCATATTCTCTCCTCTTTGTCACTAGATAAGAAGGGGCCTCAGGAGGAACAGCAAGTGATGGAAGTTCAACCTTCCATCACTTGCCGTTCCTCCTGAGATCCCTTCAAGAGGGTACTACTGTCCTACTGTTCTGTAGATAATCTGGTTTGTCTTAACAGGGATAGTTACAAATGTGATCCGGTTCGTGTTTTATATTGTAAGAGCTTTATTTTTTTTCTTTCAGAGGGAGATGGGTGGGGTTTTTTTTTACCTTTTTAAAAGAAACCAGTGTTCTAAATTCAGAAGCAGTAATGTCTTTTTCTTCTAAAAGTTTCCTTTTATTATAACAAAAGATTCATCTCACCAAGAGACAAACAGACTTTACATTTCTAAGGCCTTGTTTAGTTTTTCTTTTCTTTTCTTAGTGAAGAATCTCAGTTCTGAATTCATTAGTGGAAGCAAAATTTCACTTAGTACCTGATCTTCTTTTGGCATTCAAGGTTGGACTCTACTCTTTGAGAATTAGGAATTTTCCTTAGAAATAGAATGGCAAGTCTGAATGGTACAAAGAATTTCCAAGTGTGATCTGGTGAGGTCTAGCAGAGCGGTTAGATTTATCTACTTAAATAAGTTGGCGTTGTGACATTGTTTTTACATTGTGAACATTCAGAATAAACATCCATTTTTACTTTGCTTTTTATTTGATGTATTGCTTAACCTCACAAATGTGCCAAACTGTTAAGTGTGCAAGAAGAGAAGGGAGGAGAACAGCAAATGAGAAAGAATCAACTTTTAAGAATTAAAATCTGACACAATTGTTTGTTGCATAGATGTAGTTTTCTGTTTTTTCTTCTGTTGCTGTGGTTGTAGTCATCGGCAGCTGGCAGCCCATGGATCAAATTCTGTTCTGTTATCAGCCAAGGGGCAAACAAGAGCTGCAAGTCAGACTGTCAGCAGTAACATCACTCTAGAGAGGAGGGTTGAGGAATCTGGGACTCTTCAGATGTTGCCAGACTACAGTTCCCAGTATTGTGCATGACTGGCTATGTAGTTGGAGCTAAAAGTAACATCTGAACAACATCTGGAGATTGATGTTTCCTTCCATTGTGGTAGAGTTAGGTAGTCCAGTAAACGTCTCCAAGTGTAGGGAGGACAAAGGTTGGGGCTTTGGCTCCAGGTAGGACATACTAAGGCCCTTAAGCATTTGTTAATATCTTCTCCTATATTCTTTGGGCAAAAAACCTAAATTGAATTATTTCATAACTTCTCTCCCACAGCTGTACTGAGTTTATTTGCAGGAGTGGGAGAGATCGGTTCACAATTACACTTGGCCAAGAGATAGCATTTCAGTAAGTGGAGAAGATTATAATTTGAATTTTCACATTTAGCTTATCTCTGCATCATAAAAACACAGATTCTGCAACTTAAAGAAGATCTTCCAGTGCCATACTTACATTAAATAATGGGCTTCGTGGGAATGCTCTAGTCTTGGAATAGCTGACACATCAGAGGAGATGCCAAGTTTCAAACGGAACAATTCAGGGGCCTGAATGTAACCATGTAGATCAGTGTTTCTCAACCTTGACAATTTTAAGGCATGTGGACTTCAACTCCCAGAATTCCACAGCCAGCATTGCTGGCTGTGGAATTCTGGGAGTTGAAGTCCACATGCCTTAAAATTGTCAAGGTTGAGAAACACTGATGTAGATTTCCAGACCTCTTACTTATCTCTGTTCCACGATTAGATTCCGTTTCGCTGGAGTGCAATTCTGGCTGTTCAAGGGCATCAGGCCCACTCATTCCTCCTGCTGGCTGGGGAATTCTGGGAGTTGAAGTCCACACATCTTAAATTTGCCAAGGTTGAAAAAAAAAAGAGATTCTGGATTGAGGCCTTTAGAATCAAATAAGATTAAATAATAAATATTTCTTTAAACCAACCGACCACCGTCGGAACCCTTTCATTT